TAGAGAAATGCCAGATCACGTCGCAATCAGAAACTTCACAGTTTAAAGAACGAACTTATTATGATTTTCATTTCTGGTAAATATAACGGTAATGCTTGCATGCCTATTCATGACATTAGACCGATATACTGTATAATTACATTCCCAGCTGCCACCAGGGGTGAGGTTATGTGCCTGCAACTTATCAGCCAAGGTCTTGAGACAGCGATGCCAGATCTGGCCACGAAATGGCAAAGCACAGACAGGGGTTCGCTCAAATCCTCATCTACTGAAAACAAAATCCAGCAACCAGCAAAAGTCCAGTATGGCAGATCAGCAAGGAAGCTCTCCAGCAGAAGCAGGTAAATCTATCCCAATCCTCATCTACGAGCCTGATGTATATGTATACCGCGACTGAGCCCCCTCCAATAATTCCACAAGTTTACCTGCAATAAATCGAGCGTGTCAAAATTATTACAAAATGCTTCGTCCACAAGTTTTTGTAGGAACAAGATGCATCCTAGATACGGGCCTACGGGGAAAGTTCACACACCTGTGATGAAACCGATAAGCGGCACTGGATTCAGCGCTTTCTCAGCCTTCTCAAGATGACGCCTGTTAGGACTCGAGTGTAAGCAAGGGCATATAGGAAGGGTAAGATCAAGAGCCGAGACAGTACTGTGTTTAAGTGTGTAGTGCCCATTACCTGGTGTAGCTGGCAAAGAACGGATCTCTCATGACATAAAGTGCCCACATCATTTTTCGCCTTTTCAACTGATGGAATTGAACCAAGGAAGAATAGCTAACTCAGCAACCCAGAGAACATAACCTAAAAACTTTAACACAATAAAAAAAACTGAAATCATCTCACCTCATCCCTCTCAGCAGACGAGAGCTGATGAACTTTCCCAGCTCTATGATTCAGATCTGTTGCATGCGAATGAATGCCAAGGCTTGTGAGCTCCACAGCTAGTGAGACCAACCACGGGGTCCAAGATTTGATGCCAAACTTTCTAATCAAGAGTACGTATACAAGTGGTCTGAATATGTGGACGGCCTCCCCTAACATGAATAAGCGCCCAGAAACCCCTTTAGAAGACCAAATGGTTGCGAAAGTTGGCTTCTCAATCTCCATCACTGCTGAGCACAAGGACAAACAATCTGATAAGTAAACTAACAACACTTGAGAAAAATAATGGGTAAATATCTCAATGGAGAACCATAATAATGTTGTAGTAAAAACAAGTTACCAGGAGGAACAGGAGAAGGTTGGAGCCTGCTCATCCACGTGGGATCTGACAACATCTTTGCATTCTGACCAAACCTGTTTAAAGCAGCTACTGCTCTTCCCTCCAGACTCTTAGATATAATTCCAGGTTTTCCATCCGGACCATCAGTCGTAGTCCAATGGCCATTTTGGGAATGTCCATTAACCGGATAGATTACTGGCACTCCATTAGTCTTGACTCCCTGATTGTCTTCAAGAACATCCTCCTCTTCGTTTTCCACCTCCCCTCCTTGTAAGAGCATCCTGTAGCCACTCTCCCTGAAAGCGGCTAACCTGACACATGCTCTGAAATGTTGCACAAAAGTTATCAGCCATCACAAAGCCAGAAATGCATGGCAATAACAGATATGCAAGCAAGGAAACACAATGCATAATCAATCATCTTACTTCACTGCTTCTGTAACAGCAAGGAAGCCCCATTTGCGATCATCTCCAACAAAGTGCTGGGCAGCAACTTCAACAACTGCTTCCACATCCTTCAGTATGGATACAACAAGAGCCCATGGGATAGATTGTTCCTTGGAGGCCAGTGAGTGACCATCATTTGGTGTCTCAATTATATGCTGGTTGACAGAACTTACAATGCCCAGAAGTGCATATACTGTTCAGAAAAAAGCAATGCCGCCTTAATGTCAAATAATCAAGTTCTTACACGGAAAACAGTTTCTTGAACAACAAAAATACATAACTGTCTCATGGAAGTCATCTTACTATCTTACTATATACTCCCTCCGTTCCGAATTACTTGTCTTGGATTTGTCTAGATACAAATGTATCTAGACTCATTTTAGTGCTAGATACATCCGTATCTAGACAAATCTAAGACAAGTAGATGTTTATAAAGAACAAAAGTGTTTGCTTCCCAGGGTAAGTTTCGTTGGAAAAAATTTAGCAACTTAATGAATTAAGCTCTATATTTCCTGTTTTCAGATTAGAAACAAAATTGCTAGGTAAGTATCTCGGACTCAGTAATAGCAAGCAAATGTGCTTCGGCATCATATATTATACACAGATGCAAATACATGTTCACTAAATATATGAACAACAAATAATGAGATCTTAGGTTTAGTTTGTGGTTGTTGATCTGTGCTGTGCTTATATTATTTAGTGAACATGCATAGGGTGTTTGTGGTTGTTCACTAAATAATATGAATAACAAAATTGGTAGGTAAGTCTGCTGTAGAAAATTTGCCACAAAAGTAGGCAAACACGGGTCAAGCAAAAACTAAAATAGGAAAAGGCTGGTGCGGCAAACAGGATTATCATAATCCACCAAATGCCAAACGCAGACTTAGGAGGTTGAATGAAAGGAAGATCTATAGGCCAAGGGCAGTCATCTCATGTTGTCAGCAAAAAATAGGGTGTATTCCACATTCAACAGACTTCGATATATATTGGTAAGTTCTAATAATATCCTATCAAGTATGGCGCAATAGTTAAGTTTTTTAGCCAACAGTGACATGCCAAGTGATGACAGAAAAGGTAAGGCAAATTCAACGTTGGGCCTAAGCACTTGGTGCTATGCCAGCTAAGGCAGTTGCATTTAGTCATACAAAAAAATTAGGAGCGAACAGTAGTGAATAATATTTAATGTTATACCTCAAAAAACTAGTCTAGTATCTGCATTTAACAGTTTTCAACTAGAAAGTGTACAAAGTGCAACAGACAGATTATTTCGACCCCCCAAACAATAATGATAACATTCTTGTCATGAACTACAAAATGCTCATGGTTTAATCTCCCATACATTAACTCGGCATATGTAATTAATGCAACAAGAACAAAGGGGCACCACATGTCAAAAATCTTGCATGCAAAATTTCACAATTGAGCCTACCATGCCAGTACCTATACAACCTTATAGCTCTTTGATCACAATTATTATGGTGTATTCTACTTTCTAGCAGTCCAAAATGTATGTGTCAGACTTAACTCAGTTAAATGTTATCTGCACACCCTATTCTTTTTATATCTGATTAACACAAAGTAGAAATTTCAACACTCGCATTTGCAAATATAACACCATGAGACACTTCAACTCGGCACTTCTCGAAAGACAAACACCAAGAGACAGTAAACATACCAACCGATGATAGAAGATTCAGACCAAAAAAACGTGGAGTGGGACTAAATGTTACTCCTATTGAAAGACTTGCATCACCTGCTTCCGGGGCGATCTCGGAGTTAGCGAAGCGCTCAGGAAGTATCCACGTCACCCCCTGCAAGTCATTCAAGCAAACATAAGCATTTTTGTTTTCTAGAATGAAGCAAACATAAGCATAAGCTACAATTTCTAGCTACTCATTCCATTGACAGCCTAGCCGGCTAAGAAATTACGACCGCAATTCATGATCCTAACCGAACTCCATGGCACCGGAGCAGGGCCAACATGGAAATTCGTAAAATAATAACGGGAAATTAATCCCCTTCTGTGGTCTGCCAAAGGAGAATTCGCGCAAAACCCCAGGCGATGAGCCCCGAGGAATCCACCAAATGACACGATTGAAACCCCAAATCGACGGGCCCCGCGCGGATTAGGGATCGGGAACTCCCGTGGACCGCGAGAGCCGACGCGCGTAACGGAACAAGGAGAAGAAGCTGCTCGTGGGTAGGGGGGTTGGGAGGTTACGTTGGCGAGGGACTCGAGGGAGCGGACGAGGTCCCGGTTCTTCCGCACCCAGACCTTGTAGGCCTCCATGGCGACTCGGCCGCCTCCTCCCGGGGAAGCTAGGGGCGGAAGAAGAGGAAGGCGACAACGGCGACGACGAGGACGAGGCGGCAGCACTGGCTCGCGAGAGACGGCGTCGGGGCAGGGGCAGCCGTCCGATCTCCGGCGGACGGCGGCAGTGAATCGCGGTGGCCGGCCGCGGCGACAGGTGGGGATTTATTTGGTGTTTCGGACTCCACCCCTCCACCTCTGTCTCGCGAGCTATATACTTCGGCTGGGCCTCGACGGTGGGACCCATCGGTCAGCGAGTCTCGCCGTTCTTTTATTCTTCTTTTTGGACCCGTTTGGGAAGGAAATTGCGTTGAGCTTGGTGCTTGGACCTGACTTCCCAAACTTTGAAATTTTTCAAAGTTTTTGGATAAGAAATTATTATGTGATGGAGCGTGAACCCACACAAAATGTGACCAAGAAAACACGTGCATGTTTACCATTGGATCTTCGAGGGACTTTCTTATGGGGAAATTAGAATGTATCACGTGGAATTCATCTGTGATTGTTCTTGCACAGTTGAGTGCTAAAGCTCTTGTTCCTTTCTTTTGCATAGAAGAAACCTCTCAGTTTGCCCAGAAAAAAGAAAAAAAAAATTGTGTGTCCTTTTTATTTGCCTATAAGAGGTATTTTCGGGTCTTCGGCTCGTTTTGGTTTTTATAGTCGTCGTTAGGTGGTATATGGCCGGGATGTAAATATTATTTCTGGTGTTCTTTGTATTACCTTGATAGTTGATGAATTTTCTCGCCCGAAAAAACATGATCATTTTGATAAAAAATAAATAAAACTCATTCACACCATTCTTTGTTTGTTTTTTGTGATGTTAGTTGATCGTCGTACTTCTGAACCTAAATTTTAAATGTATTTTCTTTTCATGAGTACGTTTTTGTTGGAAATATGCCCTAGAGGCAATAATAAAAGAATTATTATTATATTTCCTTGTTTATGATAATTGTCTTTATTCATGCTATAATTGTATTATCCGGAAATCGTAATACACGTGTGAATACAAAGACCATAATATGTCCCTAGTAAGCCTCTAGTTGATTAGCTCGTTGATCAACAGATAGTCATGGTTTCCTGACTATGGACATTGGATGTCGTTGATAACGGGATCACATCATTAGGAGAATGATGTGATGGACCAGACCCAATCTTAAGCATAGCACAAGATCGTGTAGTTCGTTTTGCTAGAGCTTTTCCAATGTCAAGTATCTTTTCCTTAGACCATGAGATCGTGTAACTCCCGGATACCGTAGGAGTGCTTTGGGTGTACCAAACGTCACAACGTAACTGGGTGACTATAAAGGTGCACTACAGGTATCTTTGAAAGTGTCTGTTGGGTTGACACGGATCGAGACTGGGATTTGTCACTCCGTATGACGGAGAGGTATCTCTGGGCCCACTCGGTAATGCATCATCATAATGAGCTCAAGGTGACCAAGTGTTTGGTCACAAGATCATGCATTACGGTACGAGTAAAATGACTTGCCGGTAACGAGACTAAACGAGGTATTGGGATACCGACGATCGAGTCTCGGGCAAGTAACATACCGATTGACAAAGGGAATTGAATACGGGGTTGATTGAATCCTCGACATTGTGGTTCATCCGATGAGATCATCGAGGAGCATGTGGGAGCCAACATGGGTATCCAGATTGTTGGGGAACGTTGCAGAAAATTAAAATTTTTCCTACGGTTTCACCAAGATCCATCTATGAGTTCATCTAAGCAACGAGTCAAGGGAGAGAGTTTGCATCTACATACCACTTGTAGATCGCATGCGGAAGCTTGCAAGGTGATGATGTAGTCGTACTCGACGTGATTCGAATCACCGATGACCAAGTGCTGAACGGACAGCACCTCCGCGTTCAACACACGTACGGGACGGGAGACGTCTCCTCCTTCTTGATCCAGCAAGGGGGAAGAAGAGGTTGAGGAAGACGGCTCCACCGGGAGCACGACGGCGTGGTGATGGTGGAGAGGCAGTACTCCGACAGGGCTTCGCCAAGCACACAACGGAGGAGGAGAGGTGTTGGGGAGGGGAGGGCTGCGCCTTGGAGGGTGGTACGGCTGCCCTCCCCTCACCCCTCTATTTATAGGGGGAAGGGAGAAGGGGGCCGGCCCCCTAGAACCCATCTAGGGGGGGTGCGGCGGCCTAGGGGAGAGGGGAGAGGGTGGCTTGCCCCCCAAGCCAAGGGGGGCGCCCCCTCTAGGGTTCCCCCTCAACCCTAGGCGCATGGGCCCAAGGGAGGGGGGTGCGGTCAGCCCACCAGGGGCTGGCTCCCTGCCCCATGCAGCCCATGTGGCCCCCCGGGAGGGGTGGACCCTCCCGGTGGACCCCCGGAACCCTTTCGGTGGCCCCGGTACAATACCGGTATGACCCCGAAACTTCCCGGTGTCCGTTTGACAACTTCCCATATATAAATCTTCACCTCCGGATCCTTCCGGATCCCCTCGTGACGTCCAGGATCCCATCCGGGACTCCGAACAACATTCGGTAGTCACATACCAGTCTTCCTAATAACCCTAGCGTCACCGAACCTTAAGTGTGTAGACCCTATGGGTTCGGGAGACATGCAGACATGACCGAGACGCTCTCAGTCAGTAACCATCAGCGGGATCTGGATACCCATGATGGCTCCCACATGCTCCTCGATGTTGTCATCGGATGAACCACGATGTCGAGGATTCGATCAAACCCTGTATGCAATTCCCTTTGTCAATCGGTACGTTACTTGCCCGAGACTCGATCGTCGGTATCCCAATACCTTGTTCAGTCTCGTTACCGGCAAGTCACTTTACTCGTACCGTAATGCATGATCCCGTGTCCAACACCTTGGTCACATTGAGCTCATTATGATGATGCATTACCGAGTGGGCCCAGAGATACCTCTCTGTCATACGGAGTGACAAATCCCAGTCTCGATCCGTGTCAACCCAACAGCTACTTTCGGAGATACCTGTAATGCACCTTTATAGTCACCCAGTTACGTTGTGACGTTTGATACACCCAAGGCACTCCTACGGTATCCGGGAGTTACACGATATCATGGTCTAAGGAAGAGATACTTGACATTGGCAAAGCTCTAGCAAACGAACTAAACGACCTTTGTGCTATGCTTAGGATTGGGTCTTGTCCATCACATCATTCTCCTAATGATGTGATCCCGTTATGAACGACATCCAATGTCCATAGTCAGGAAACCATGACTATCTGTTGATCACAACGAGCTGGTCAACTAGAGGCTCACCAGGGACATATTGTGGTCTAAGTATTCACACGTGTATTACGATTTCCGGATAATACAGTTATAGCATGAATGAAAGACATTTATCATGAACATTGAAATATAATAATACTTTTATTATTGCCTCTAGGGCATATTTCCAACAGTCTCCCACTTGCACTAGAGTCACCAATCTAGTTACATTGTGATGAATCGAACACCCATAGAGTTCTGGTGTTGATCATGTTTTGCACGCGAGAGAGGTTTAGTCAGCGGATCTGCGACATTCAGATCCGTGTGCACTTTGCAAATCTCTATGTCTCCATCTTGAACATTTTCACGGATGGAGTTGAAACGACGCTTGATGTGCCTGGTCGTCTTGAGAAACCTGGGCTCCTTGGCGAGGGCAATAGCTCCAGTGTTGTCACAGAAGAGTTTGATCGGCCCCGACGCATTGGGTATGACTCCTAGGTTGGTGATGAACTCCTTCACCCAAATCGCTTCATGCGCTGCCTCCGAGGCTGCCATGTACTCCGCTTCACACGTAGATCCCGCCACGACGCTCTGCTTGCAGCTGCACCAGCTTACTGCTCCACCATTCAACATATACACGTATCCGGTTTGTGACTTAGAGTCATCCAGATCTGAGTCGAAGCTAGCGTTGACGTAACCCTTTACAACGAGCTCTTCGTCTCTTCCATAAACGAGAAACATATCCTTCGTCCTTTTCAGGTACTTCAGGATATTCTTGACCGCTGTCCAGTGTTCCTGCCGGGATTACTTTGGTATCTTGCTACCAAACTTATGGCAAGGTTTAGCATGGCATACATAATAGATCCTATGGCTGAAGCATAGGGGATGACACTCATCTCTTCTTTATCTTTTGCCGTGGTCGGTGACTGAGCCGAGCTCAGTCTCACACCTTGTAACATAGGCAAGAACCCCTTCTTGGACTGATCCATTTTGAACCTCTTCAAAATCTTATCAAGGTATGTGCTTTGTGAAAGACCTATGAGGCGTCTCGATCTATCTCTATAGATCTTGATGCCTAATATATAAGCAGCTTCTCCAAGGTCCTTCATTGAAAAACACTTATTCAAGTAGGCCTTAATGCTGTCCAGAAATTCTATATTATTTCCCATCAAGAGTATGTCATCTACATATAATATGAGAAATGCTACAGAGCTCCCACTCACTTTCTTGTAAACGCAGGCTTCTCCATAAGTCTGCATAAACCCAAACGCTTTGATCATCTCATCAAAGCGAATGTTCCAACTCCGAGATGCTTGCACCAGTCCATAAATGGATCGCTGGAGCTTGCATACTTTGTTAGCGTTCTGAGGATCGACAAAACCTTCCGGCTGCATCATATACAGTTCTTCCTTAAGATGCCCGTTAAGGAATGCCGTTTTGACGTCCATTTGCCATATCTCATAATCATAGTATGCGGCAATTGCTAACATGATTCGGACAGACTTCAGCTTCGCTACGGGAGAAAAAGTCTCGTCGTAGTCAATCCCTTGAACTTGTCGATAACCCTTAGCGACAAGTCGAGCCTTATAGATTGTAACATTACCATCCGCGTCCGTCTTCTTCTTAAAGATCCATTTGTTTTCTATCGCTCGCCGATCATCGGGCAAGTCTGTCAAAGTCCATACTTTGTTTTCATACATGGATTCTATCTCGGATTTCATGGCTTCAAGCCATTTGTTGGAATCCGGGCCCGCCATCGCTTCTTCATAGTTCGAAGG